CCACAGGGGGTCACCACAGGGGTGACAGCGGGTACCCTGGGGACACAGGGGACACCACAGGGATGGAGGGCACAGAGGGTGGGGACAGGGTGTGGACAGAGGGAACATCACAAGGTCACAGGGGGGTCACAGAGAGCACACGGGGGTTACACAGGAGTCACTGCAGGGTCACCATGTGGGATTATTGGGGGGGGTCACCCTGGGGACAGGGAGGTCACCTCGAGGTCACCACATGCGCAGATGGGAGGCAGGGAGGGCACAGTGGACAGGAGAGGGTGACAGTGGGCACGGCGAGGTGACAGCAGGCACCAGGAGGGGACACGAGAGACTCAGACAGGACCCGGGGAGGGGACAAGCGGCGCTGGGAGGTGACATGGGGCACACAGCGCAGGGAGGTGACCAGGGGTGCAGGGGAGGGGACAAGGGGCCCAGGGAGGTGACAAGGGGCCCAGGGAGGTGACATGGGCTGCAGGAAGGGGACAAGAAGAGTGGCCGGGGGTGGGGGGGGGTGCAGGGACAAAGGTACAGGTTACAGAGGGAGGTGACAAAAAAGCTCGGGGGAAGCGCTAAGGGAAAGCCTGGCAAGGACAGGGGGTGCAGGAAGGTGGCACTGGGCACACAGAGGTGACAAGAAGACCCCCCCTCCCGGTACCTGCTCGGTGGCAGCCACGCGGAGCGGCAGCAGCAGGAGCAGGGGCAGCAGCAGGAGCAGAGGCAGCAGCAGGAGCAGGGGCAGCAGCAGGAGGGTGCCCAGGGCCAGCAGCGGGGCCAAGCGAGACCATCACGGCCATCAGAGCCCCTGCCCGGGCCAGCGCCCACAGCGCCGGCACCAGCTCGTCAGCCAGAGCCCCGTGGGCCGCCGCCGCGTCCCCCGTCACCCGCGCGGCCACCGCGGCCGGAGTGTCCCCCAGGACACCCCCCGGGCCGGTCACGTCCCCCCGCAGCACTGCGGGTCAGCGCCGCGCTGGAGCCGCCCCCGAGCCCGGGTCAGCGCCGCGGCCGCCGCTCCGTCACAGCCCAGCTCGGCCAGGGGGGTCAGCGGGCACCGCCACCTCCGGGGGTGTCCCTTCCGTGGCCCTATTGTCACCCACCTGCCGAGCCCCAGCGCCACCAAGGGCCACACGGCCGCCCACGCGTCCTCCTCCCGCGTCACCCGGTCAGCGACGTGGCCCGTGAAGTAAGGGCCGGCCACCTCTCCTGCGGGGAGGGGACACCCCCGGGGTGGGTGGGGACAGACCCCGGCGTGGAGCCGTGCCCCACTTTTTGGGTACCGACAACGCTCAAAACGGGGGGTTCAGCCCCGAAATTGGGTGATGACCCCCCCTGTTGTGGGCTAAGATCCCAAACTTGGGGGTTGACCCCTGAAAATTTGGTCCTGACCCCCTCTGTTGTGGGCTAAGATCCCAAACTTGGGGATTGAATTCCCAAAATGGGGTCTGGGAAACCCAAATTTGGGTGTTGACCCCTGGAAATTAGGTCCTGACCCCCCTGTTGTGGGCTAAGACCCTAAACCCGGGGGTTGAACTCCTGAAATTGGGGTCCAGAAAACCCAGACTTGGGTGCTGACCCCTGAAAATTGGGTGCTGACCCCCCCCGTTGCGGGCTAAGACCCCAAACCTGGGGGTTGAACTCCCAAAGTTGGGGTCTGGAAAACCCAAATTTGGGTGTTGACCCCTGAAAATTGGGTCCTGATCTCCCATATTGGGTAATGAGCCCCTAAATTGAGTCCTGTACGCCTAAAATTGCCTGTGGACCCCTGAAAATTGGGTGTTGAGCCACTAAATTGGGTCTGACTCTCTAAAATTGTGTGTCACCCCCCCAAACTGGGTCCTGACCCTTGAAAATTTGCTCCCAACCTGCCAAAACTGTCTCCAAAATGGGTCCTGACCAGCCAAAAATGTGTTCTGACCCCCCCCCAGAATTGGTTTCTGGTCCCTCAAAATCGGGCCCTGCCTCCCCAAATTGGGCCCTATCACCTCCCCAAATTGGGTCCTGACCCCCCGAAATTGAGTCTCGACCCCCCGGTTGGGTCCTGCCCCCTCAAACTGGGTCCTGCTCCCCCCAGTCTGCTCCTGCCCCCT